GCATTCCAAGTACGACCAGGTACAGCTTCATGTCATCCAATCAAAGTTCAAGAAGCTAGACCAATGGTACATCGGGTGAACACTGCATCGGACTTAGTAAATGTGATGCGTCTGCGCAAACAGGTTACGTGATTGGACGATGGTCCTTAAACAATGATATGGCCCATTGCTTTCCATAACCATGTTCTAGTTCTATGAATAAACATTGACACCTACTGCTACCAATTCTGTATGTATTTCATTGGTATCCGCAGTTTAGGTTGGACCCACTCCAGTTCTGAGAATTACAATACGGGCTCTCATATTCCTATATTCGATACCATTCCAATTATCACACAAACCTAGGAACACCTTTTGTGTCTTAATCCGTCAGAAGGGTAGTCGTCCACTACGGTTCACTGTGACAGTTGTCATTCGATCTGGCAAGCCTGTTTTGTGTACAGAAATCAAATTTGTGGCCAGCCTCGTACTACCTTCGGAGTTATCACTATCCCTCCTTGCAGGGATTGCGTTTCCTGTCTACACACTCAATCCGGTTCGAATTAGTGACCCTTAGCCTTCATATTGATTGATTTCTCTTCCCTGTGTGTGTTTGCCTGTTCCCAAACCTATCACTCTTTTAACCAAACGTGATCTGAATGTATATATAGACAGCTGACGAGATTGACATAAAATAATTGAATTCAACACATCGTGCTGTGATCATGATGCTTTTTCTAGCTCTCATGAAAATGTTAAATGAAAGTGGTTTCATGAAATTATTGGTTTATCCGTCTTTGGGATTGCTTTAGAATATAAGGGGGTGATAAAAGATGGATCTCGTTCGCGCCGTATTTCATAGAGTATGTGAAATATCTTCGAATGATAAAAAGGATCGTTTAGAAAGGATTCTACAATGAAACCGAAATCTCGTTGCACACGCTGCCCAATATTCTGAAGAATACTTACTGCACGGTAGCAGTCCGATATCACTACCCTCGTACCAAAACAGGGTCATTTTCAAAACACATCCAATTGAAACCATGCGATAATACAGTCGCCGAATAGATTCCCTCATATGGTCGCACATATTAACACACGTACACGCATATACAAAGAGAATTACGATGCACTGAAATCACTCACTTAATTGAGAAACTCATTTAATTCGTTCAATTCCCAGTTTTGTTTTGAACCAGGAAGCCTCTCCAACCGCCTTTATCATCCAGTTGATTACGCAATAGCACAGTGCCATCTTTGCGACCATAAGTCCATTGAAAATGCGAACTTTGCCGAGCTCCTGAAGCAAAGCGGGTAGACGAACCTTCGGGTAGTCTATACGGGAATATTCCGGTCTTGACCACTTTGGGCAATAATGATTCGAACAGATTAAGCGCGCATCCGATATGCGCAAATGTCGGACCGGCAATGGTCAATCGGCGACGAGGCAAACCTTTGATAAATGCCGAACTCGGGTCCAGTTCACTCAGACGAATCTCTGTACCGGACTGGCGTTCGATTGATTTAATTCGACGATCCGTGTACGCGTCCCGGGCACATTTGGTTTCCATCACTTCTCTTACATGGTCCGGGTTCTGGAGACGGGCAACTTTGTCAATAAATGCTTTTCGTCGGAAAGGCATAAGATCTTCGTCCACCTGGAATAGGTTATTATAAACTGGTTCAACAATGCACCAAGGACAACGAGATAGATAAGAGGTGAAAAAAGAGTGAAGGTTTATAGAGACAATTCAATAACTGAAGACAAGGATAAGCAAGTCAAAAATCATGACAAGAATTACAGTTGTGCTGATAATAATCTGGGGAAAATGCCAGGTGCACGAAACGTTTTGATCATTAGGTCAAAATTATCAATGGGCAGTGTATTTTACACCACAAAGATATGAACTTACTGAAGAAAAATCAAAACACTGATATGTCAACCCGGGATATTGATTTCCTGTGTGTGCTTGAGTGCAGGAAAATATTATCTTACATGCATGAATCATGTAAAGCGATTCGTTTGCTTCAAATTGCATTCGTCACACTTGAAACGTTTTGGTCTTCTAAGAGCACAGCTTGCACATTCGTGATTCGTGGGTAATTAAAAAAAAACGAGGTCACCAGAACAGTGTAGCGCTTGTGCAATCATTGCCTTCGCCCATCTATGCACAAAAAGGGCTACCCGATCAGTCAACTAATAAGAAAAATAGCGTAACTGGATGTTAGCATCAACATGCAAGCACACATAAAGCAGGATATAAGTGTTTCTGTTTACGACACTCTGTCACAACATACGGTATGCCGATTCATTAGGGTAAGTTGGCCGTGAGGCCACCAAACGGAAGCCTAAAGAATAGGTCCTCTGATTTTCCAGCTGCTTTTGACCTTCCTCTATTCATTGCCTGCCTCTGCAAAAAAATGCCTCAGAAAGCATCTATATCACCGGGAGTGATTGTCTTAGGTTGCGGCTGGTCATCCCTCCCTTGCACCTCGCGAAATTATCCCATGCGACTCAAATAGCTTCTACTGAGGAAGCCCTACTCACTGCCTTCTCGTGGCGGAGGTGTTTTCCCACCAAAGTGAGAGAACGAAAACTCGACATCCGGGGCTATAACCGAGTTGATGGACCACTGGTATTTCACCTAGGGGAGTTGGCCAAAGCCCTGATTCCAAACCAACCTTGAGGAGGCGTGCGAACCACATCCACAACTTCCTGGTTGTGGCCGTAATGGTCACCAGTTCGATTGGGCATTTGGGTGTATTGGGCACCTTGGCCGTCTGATCTCGTCCAAAGGGTGTATGATCCGATGAACTGGACACCGGCTCCCAGTGGATTGCGGTTTTCCCACATCGCCCTGCTGTCTTGCGGGTCAGGATTTGGCTAACCGAAGGCTCCGGTTGTGAATTCCCCGAGAAAATTCACCTGCTTTGACCTGGGTAACACACTGAATTTTTTTCTTTTCGATAAAGATGAATGCTCAGGGATTTGTTTGGTACGCAGTCTGAGCTCAGGCGTGAATGAAAGTGTAAATATAATCAATCTGCAAAAAATTGCTAACATCCAACTGTTGGCATAATCGTCGTTAAATACGGTTTTGAAGTCCCGGGATTCACGCGAGATGAACTTTAGGACGTCACTTGAGGCTTAGATAAAGTGAAACGGCTCGTATTAGAACTTTTGTCATCAAATTTCATGCACGATCAAATCGATTCTAAAAATAACCGAAACTGTGTCTGTGACGGTAGCTAGAATTCCTACACATGTTTGCAAGTCAGTGATATGTATATATGCGCACAATGCTCTCTATAGATAAAAAGAACACAGGAAAAAATTCAAGATTAGACAAAACTAAAATAAGCCAAGCACAATATCTTGTTCAGGATAAAACAGCCCATTCTGCAAAACAGGTAGGTATTTTGTTAGTACAGAAATCAGTGCAGATGGGACAAGGTAAACTTTTGAATCCATAAAGACAAAACCAGACATTATGCTCAATGATTAAAAGTCCAAAGAAAGCTCGGCCCAATACTCAATCAGAGCTAAGAAACGTTCAAACAATCTGCCGTATAAAAGATTGAAATTTTGTGCATTTGTGGTGATCCTAGCCTACGGCGTGACACCAACCACAGAGCGACGAGTTACAGTTTCTGGACAACTGTGGTGAGTCAGCCTTTACAGATCACGCCAGTCAAGTGCCTACGAGTTGCAGCTTCTGGACAAAGAATCACAGGTTGACCGTGACGACCAATCAGAACTCATACGGTTCAGAAAGAAGCTGCACGATGTCAAGAATACAATCACGCGATTGGTGAATATCTGGATAACCAATGGAATTTTTTGCATGTTCTTTATTCCGCTGATTTGCTCCAATGAATGAACTGCCACTCCTATGGCCTTTTCCTTGCGTCGCGGTTGCGTGGGATACCGACGTGCAAGTGCTAGTGCAATTCATTGTTTCCGTTGCGTCCGTAATTCTCGATCCCTGAATTCGTAATTCCTAAATCGTGCTTTAACTACTACAGGATTTTATTCACCAGTTTATATTACCGCCCTTCTTATATCCGTCCCGTGGAACACGCATTATATTCCCTTTGAACAGATTCACCTTGTTTTTCCACTGGAAAAGCGAGGGCGCCCGAGGGATGAAGGCCACTGAACAATTACCCCAAAGGATATGTGCTCGAATTCCAGGCTGCCGTAGATGCGGCTGAAGTGCGTGCTAGCAATCTACAATGTGTATCAATTGCAACTGCCACCGTAAGTGTATTGCATTATACATATTTATGCTCCAATATGCAGATTATACCATGGAAAAAGCTTTACAGACTGAAACTCATATCAAAGTACGTGAACTAATATAAAGGTAGATTCAGAAGGTCAGAGAAGACATACCGGAGAGAGTCTGACAAAGAAAATCTCCCAGAAGAACTGTCGGATTGCTGACTAGTGAAACCTTTTGTATTAAATTTTGTTTCAAATACGAATTTCTATAAAGTAGTCGACCTCCATACATAAAGTTTTTTGGGGCGTGCTCTATTCCCGCCACAGCTTGAGAGGTTTGCCGAGGCAAGTAATCGATGGGAAAAAGTCAAGGTCGTGTTGGGGACCAGAGGATCAATATAACTGCTGATTAGAGATACTAAATGATGTAGCAAACAGTGGCGCTAGTGTGTCCTATGCATATTGTCACAAACGTATTCCTGAATTCTCTATTTTTCACTCCTGACACTGCTTTAAAAATTCCATTATTTGTTTTCAACTTTATCTAAGTGGGTAGTCAAGAAAATAAGACTGCCACAATAAAGCGCTTGTTCAGTTCCGTATAGTTTACATAACCATTAACCATGCACTTTCGTGTGCTGGTTTTGGTTGCCATCATTTGGCTAACCATTTAGATGAAGAATAGAAGAATACAGAGGAGTTGAAAGTAGAGTCGAAGAGAAAATAGAAAATTTCAGTGATCTAAGGTTGCAAATAAATTGAGAAGATGCACGAACGTCACTGTTTACGACAATCAACCATATCACTCAGTGTCTCTAACCATCGGTTACGATCATCCCGAGGTCTCCAAACTAATAGGACCTATGTGACCCAGACTCCTGGTTAGGGTTTCCATACCCTCATGCCAGGTCGTAGGTTGGCCATCCTTGACTTTCTTCTACCCATTACCTACCTCGGCGATCATCGCTCGTTGTGGCAACCTATTTGGAGACATGCGTAACACATGCCCCAAACAACCTAATCTACGGAGGTCGACCATTTGGGTAAATAGAGCAAGAAAGTGTATGATAAATGACTATTTGAATTGAAGCTTTCTTTTGAATTTGCTCCGAGTTCTCTGTGCAGGGTTCAATTATCAATAAAAATCTAAGAGTGGGTTATATATATATATATTTATATAGCGACAGACAGCTCATGTGCAATGACTTACCGAGGCCGATGGGAAATAGACAAAGAAACAATAGTGACACGCATGTCGATCACACATGGCAATTGTTTTCGGACTGGCATTATCTAAATCTCTGAGTGCCGTTGGATCTGGTTCAGTATATGGTTGCCCGGTAAACGATTCACTCCCAGTTTCACCCTCCCCGTCATCTTCTTCATCTTCCTCTTCATCACCATCTTCTTCTTCACTGGTTGCCGACCGATTAGATGAATATCTTGGACGCGAAGTAGGAGGGGCCATAGGTATCCGGCGTTCACCCTCTCCAGTGGTTCGTATCTTTTCAGAGGTTGGCTGTTTTTTCAGCGTCAGTGGTTTGGGCTGCGGGACTGAGCTGGATATGGACACTTTGACTGAGGATGGATTGGATGTGTGTGTACTTTGTGGTGTGATTCGTTTCATTTTGATCGGAGGTTCTACTTGCACTGAACTAGTATCTTCCGAGGCCTCTTCGGTCACCTGAGGCTTCTGAACACGAGATGGACTGTGCACTTCGGTTACCTGTGGCTTCTGAACTCGAGGTGCACTGGACACTTCGGTCGCTTTGCTGGACGGAGTTTTGGGTGATACACGTGATCGTGTGGTACGCGACTCGTCCATATATTCGGTGTTGTGCAAATCGGACATTGTGGAACCGCCACGTTGTTCGGACAAATCACCCCGACGGTTGACATCTTTCGAACTAACACTGACACCGGTATTGCCCGGAGACACGGTTGTCAGTTCGCTATCCGCACCGGTTGCCTTATTCTGATTCAAATCTCGTGGGTCAATTTCGTTGAAAGACATCTCGTTGGTCTGATATTTATTCAGAATACCCACAGCACGTGTGTATGTCGGATCTAATTCAAGTAAAATTTCCTGAGCGGATCGGCCACCTTCACTATTCGAATCATTTCTAGC